TTCATCGTTCATCGACAGCTTTCGTAAGCAGCCGATTTATCCTTACTACTCACAGACCGCTTGCAATCGTACACGTTCGTATCAGTACGGCGCATCTCGCATCCTATAGCACAGTCACCTTTATTTGTTACATCACTCAGTCTTTCGATTTTGTTTACTGGTACGTAGTTTTCATCCCACAGTCCATCTGGGTCCACTCCTTCAAGCAAATCACCGTCGAGGATTAGCTTGCCATTACGCTTGGAATAGGTGCGTAATTCCGTCACTCCTTCCAATCTTGCGTCTTCTTCTATAATCTTGATGAATTGGTCAGTCATCGGAAGAACCTTGATTTTCGCACGTCGTGCTTCGTACTTTGTGTTCAGATCATAGATATGGTGTCCTTCTTGGATATCGTTGGTGGGTCCCATGTAAACACCTTTGATTGTCCGAGCAGTCACATTATTCTTGGTGTCATGGCCATATCCATGGACATGTGCACCAATCTCAGCGACAAATTCGTTAGAGGCATCAACCATTTGTTGATGTATAATCATATGCGGGCTGTAGTATGCAGACAACCCACCTTTTGCCGGATAGTAGTTGGATATTTTTGCGACCCTTGTCATAAGTGCCACAGTTAACTTCTTTGGAATCGCCTTGAATGGCATTCGGTGAAAGTGAACCCAAAACAATGCTTTTAAATGTTGATTATTTTGTTCCGCTTTTGGATCATGTTTGCCTCTGCTGGCGTAATTCATATGAACTTCAAATTTGTCTTTCACGGGCTCAAATACCGGACGGAACTCCCCATCCCAGTAAATCTTTTCCACTGTGAAATCACGTGCATTATATAGTCGAAAGCATTTATTGACTTTGTCATACAATGCCGTTTTGGATCATGAAGCCAAGGGTATGTAGCACCGGTATCTCACACTCCCATCAATGGTTGTGAGTTCGAACAAATTGTTAACCAAAACAAGATCAATGTGCAGTACAACACTCAGATTGTGGATTAATAACTCCTTTGGTATTTCTATCCAGAATCCCACACTGCTTCAGGTGTGGGACGCTTTGTCTTTCCTTTTAGGACCAAAGAACCAGGTCCATATATCTTTTTGGCAATGATCGCATCTTCTTCATTCACATTGCAGTTCTTGAACAAACCAGATCTTTCTGCAATACGAAACGCTTGCACGCCTGGTGCACCAGCCATATGATACACTGATTGTGCGCGATTAGCCCGCTAAACTTGTTTATCAGTGAAGCCTTCGATATTCTCCCGTACCGTCTGTATGACACAATAATTGGAATTGGAATAGCTAATTTTTCAAATTCTACCACAGAAAATAACACCACATTTATGGCATTCAGTGTGTGCGACACTAATCGCATCACAGTCACAATTCCCGCATTCTCTGTATTCGCATTCAGAGTATTCGGACCCTTCATCACTCTCTGCCCTACCATCCGGCATGAAAGTATACAATCTGTTTCGATGTACATACCTCATTATTTGTTCCCCCCTTGAAAGCACTGGCAGCTTCTAGTTGTGCTTGCCATTTATTCATTAGCAACTCTCCCCTGTCTTCAGTGGAGACTGCTTTCTTCTTCAGAATCGGTCTTAAGGTACTTGTGCAAGGTTCCATCCTGTAATCCTACCATCAGATCATCCATCAGCGACAGATCTGCCTCGTACCACATAAGAACCGGTTACATCCATAGTACCAGAAGTGCTATTTCCACTCCTGTCAACAACAGCTTGTTGCATATTGCTTCGATGTTGTTGACCAGTTGATTGCATTCCAGTGACGCTAGACGCGGCATCCAACTGCGCGTCTTGATCCGCTTCAACAGCATCACATAGTCTTCCTTGAGGTCCAACCAATCAGTTTCATTGCTTATTTTATCTCTCATTGCTTGAGTGATGAAATGCTTGGTGATGATCGCAGCCACGGTATATTGGTTCGTGATATAGATCACTTCTCTCTTGTCAATCTTGACATTTAGATTTTCCCAGTTCCTATCAAGTTTAGCTTGTCTCAAACTTTTACGGCTTGTAGACCATTTGAGTGCCTCTTAAAGCCTCAAAGTCCACATGGGCCATATTTCTCACACTCCAGATCATATCTTGAGCGTAGTCCAAGCTCTTGAGCGCAATGGCCTCAAGCAAGTATATTGTCACCTGCTCGTGAGTGAAGTCAGGATTTTGAGGATGGTATTGCTTTGGTCTATCGGTCTTCTTGCCGTGAGACCCTCGACCGCCTCTGCCTTGGTTCCTTCTACCAGGCATATTGCTCTGTAGTCCCTCCTACTTTGCAATATTCAAAAAATTACATTTGTTGATCGACTGTCAGATAATCAACTCCGTAGCTGTAATGAGAGCCTCAACGCTCTAGCTACCTCTGGAGTTGAGCTCGAATCTACGTTGGCTATGGATTGCCTACAATAGGAACAGGTGCCAGTGATGCTGGGCTTCAACCAGCGGATGAACAGTCTCACCACTTCCTATTAGATCTTATTCTGCTGCTATTCTTGCCAGAAGTCGATCAACAATGATCTCCACAAGCAGGTACAAAAAATCTCTTCCGGAAGCCGTCTGTGTCAGCTCTTATCAGCTGTCGCGGCGTATAAAGCACATATGTACATGTTCTTCACAAACTAGTCACAGAGTAGATCTACCTTCAATACTTATCCATCTCTGTACCTACTTGAACCGTACTCCTGTCCGTGTTCGATATCACAAATGTCCGACTTCATTGTCCGACATATTCGACTGTTCTTTTACCTATTAAGATCCCATTTCACCAACAGTTATCATTGTCCTTGCTATCAGAGTCTAATGGAAGAATTGAGTCTAATGGAAGAATTGACAAGGCATTTGTCATGATACACATCTGAAACAGTAGGTATGACCTTTTTAGGAAGAAATTGTCCAAAATTCCCCGTGGTCTGCCCTTTTTGCGGCATGCCTTGTCTTTCCCAAAAGTTCCTTGTCCTTTTTTTCACAAGGAGCCCCCTTTTTTTGACACTCCTTTGGGGCAAATGACACACAAGAGTCATTATGACAACCAT